TCTGCCTCTCTCCCCTGCTCATATTCCCTCTCTCTCTCCTGCTCATATTCCCTCTCTCTCTGTCTCTCTTTGTCACATGAATAAAAAAAAAATTAAATTAAAAATAAAATAAAATAAGATAGGGGCGCCTGGGTGGCTCAGTCATTTAAGCGTCCGCCCTTTGGCTCAGGTCATGATCCCAGGATTGTGGTATCGAGCCCCACATCGGGCTCCCTGCTCAGCGGGGAGTCTGCTTCTCCCTCTCCCTCTGCCATTCCCTCCGCTTGTGCTCTCTGGCTCTATCTCTCTGTCAAGTAAATAAATAAAATCTTAAAAAAAAAAAAAGATTCTCTTTCTCCTTCTCCCTCTGCCTCTCCTCACCCTGTGTGTGTGTGTGTGTGTGTGTGTGCCCGCGTGCACAAGCTCTCTCGCTCTCTCGAAAGAAATTCTCCATCTCACAGTGAAAGAAATAAACCACATAAAATTGCTGATATTCAACAATTATTTTTACCTAAACCAGCAATTTCATATGGCTAATATTAACACAAAACAATATTGAGATATTACTTTTATCCTTTCGTATTGACAAAGATTAAAAAGGTTTGCTAACACCTTGTGTTGGCAAAACTCTGGAGAAACAGACATTGAGAGCAATCTCTGTGGAAGGTGATTTGGGAGTTGTCTCTCAAATGACAGGAAGGTATTGTGCTAAGTGAAATAATTCACACAGAAAAGGACAAATACCACATGATTTCACTAATATGTGGAATCCAAAAAACAAACAAATCAGAAAACAGACTCTTAAATACAGAGAACAGATTGGTGGTTGCCAGAAGGGAGGTGGGTGGGGGGATGGATGAAACAGATAAAGGAGATAAAGAGATAGAAACTTCTAGTTATAAAATAAATAAGTCGTGGCGATGAAAAGTACAGCATAGGCAATATAGTAAAAAAAAAAAAATTCACAACAGATGTAAATACTCTTTGACCCAGCTATTATCCTATAAATATACTCCTACACCTAGAATGTACATAATTACTCATGCAACATTGTTTGTAATCTCAGACGATTAGAAAAAAAAAACTGAATGCCCATCAATTAGTTGATTAGTTAAATAAATTATTACATTCACACACACACACACACACACACAACAAAGCATGAATAAAAATAGAATATGAGGAAATAAGCAATAAGATACACTGTTAGATTTTCAAAAACCATACACACCAGGTTCTGAACAATTGTATAGTATGTTACCATGTGGCTAAACAAATATAAATGTGTGTGTTATGGCATCTGGAAAAACTGAAAATATTTGTTGTGCTTAGAAAGGGGAACTTGGGTGGCTGGAAAATAGAGATAGGAGGGAAACATTTCACTGAATACTGTTTTGTACCTTTTGAACTTTGAACACTGTGAATAATTACCCATTCAAAAGAAACAACAATGACAACAAAAAAAACCCACCAGCCCTGGCAGGGCTCACAGTATATCCTATAAAATACCCCATTCTAACCAAAGCATTGATATAACAAGAAGTAGACAGATAAACTCAGCAGTAAGCGGTCCTCCTCCAAAATGCCCTAGTCTTCGGAAATGTACCGCCTCAGGACATTTTATCTGGGTAAAGATCTGTGGAGCCCTTCCGTAGCACTAGAACTAAATAAAGCCTTAAACAGGTGCTGATCAGAACTTCCTGAGCAACTGAGGAATCAATGAAGCCTCCCAGAGGGGGAAGCCAGGGACCTGGTGGCAGGAGCTTAAAAGGCTATCTGAGGAGACAAAACTAATGCAAGTGGGACACAGAGGTAGGAGACAGGGCAGGAGAGCTGCCAAGGGAGACTGGAGTGTAGGCAGCCAAGAAATCATCCATCAGCTAAGCCAGAGAAGGTAGGTTGCAGCGGAACAGAACATCCTCCTGGGTCTGGGAACCAAAACATGGAAGCTTGCCCTCTCTCCCATGACCCAGTTTGTGCTTCCTGTGCCTGCAAGTCTGAACTCTGCAAGGTAGGAGGTTCTGGTCCCCAAGGGGGACACAACAAGTTCCCTTTGAACTACAAGCTGCAGCTCCTCACCAGCATCCTGCCAATGAAAGAAGGAGTCACCACACTGGAAAAAGCAATTGACCCTGATCAGCAGAAGGAGATAGAGCTGCTTTTACACAGTGGACAAAGGGGAACACATGTGGAACCACTGACATTTCAGATCAGGTAATTCTTTGCAGTGGAAGACAGTAGTATGTGCTGTAGGCTGTTCAGCAGCATCACCAGCCTCTACCTACTAGATACCAGGGACACTTCCACAGTTGTGACAATAAAAATGTCTCCAGGCATTGCCAGATGTCACCTAGGGAGCAAAATCATTGTCAGTTGAGAACCACTAATGTAACTAATAACAGCAAAACTTTTCTTCAAAAAGAGATCAAGTTGGTGCTACTGGGTTGTGCAGTCAGTTAAGCATCCGACTCTTGCTTTTGGCTCAGGTCATGATCTCAGGGTCATGAGATCTAGCCCCATGTCAGGCTCTGAACTCAGTGTGGAGTCTGCTTGAGATTTTCTCTCTCCCTTTCCGTCTGCCCCTCCCCCTGCTCTCTCAATCTCTAAAATAAATAAATGAATCTTTAAGAAAAAGAGAGAGGAAAAAAAAAAAGAAAAAGAGAGAGGGGCGCCTGGGTGGCTCAGTCAGTTAAGCGTCTGCCTTCAGCTCAGGTCATGATCCCATGGTCCTGGGATCGAGTCCCGCATCGGGCTCCCTGCTCAGCAGGGAGTCTGCTTCCCCCTCTCTCTCTGCCTGCCCATCCCCCTGCTTGTGCTCTCTCTCTCTCTCTCTCTCTGTCAAATAAATAAATAAAATCTTAAAAAAAAAGATCAGGATGAGAACATATGAGAAGAATTCAGCCCACCAATGCTGGCTTTGAAGCTAGAAGGGGACCATGAGCCATGAGCCAAGGGATGCAGATAGCCTCTAAAACCTGCAAGGAACAGAGTTTTCCTAAAGCCCTCTGAAGGAAAGCAGCCTTTCCTACACCTTAATTTCAGTCCAGTGAGACTGAAATTAGGCACATGGGTAGGACTTCAGCTCAGTTCATGATCTCAGGGTCCTGGATCCAGCCCTGTCTTGGGTTCCCTGCTGAGGGGGGAGTCTGCTTGTCTCTCTCCCTCTGCCCTCCCCCTGCTCATGCTCTCTCTCTCTCAAATAAATAAATAAAAATCTTTTTTTTTTTTAAGATTTATTTATTTATTTGAGAGAGAGAGAGTACATGAGAGGGGGGAGGGTTAGAGGGAGAAGCAGGCTCCTCGCTGAGCAGGGAGCCCGATGCGGGACTCGATCCAGGGACTCCAGGATCATGACCTGAGCCGAAGGCGGTCGCCCAACCAACTGAGCCACCCAGGTGCCCAATAAATAAAAATCTTTTAAAAAATTCAGTCCAGTGAGGCCCATTTCAAACCTCTGGCCTCAAGAACACTAAGATAAATTTATATTGTTTTAAGTCACTGAGTTTGTGGTGTTTTATTATAACAGTAGTGGAAAACTAATACACCTTCTCTATTTCACAGTCTTCACTTATAAAGTTATCTCAGACACCTCTGTGGCTCAGTCAGTAGAGCATGCATCTCTTGATCTCAGGGTCGTGAGTTCGAGCCCCACTTGAGGGTAGGGCTTACTTTTTAAAAGTATAAAAATAATAATAGGGTGCCTGGGTGGCTCAGTCGTTAAGCATCTGCCTTTGGCTCAGGTCATGATCCCGGAGTCCTGGGATCGAGTCCCACATCAGGCTCCCTGCTCAGCAGGAAGCCTGCTTCTCCCTCTCCCACTCCCTCTGCTTGTGTTCCTGCTCTTGCTGTCTCTGTCTGTCAAATAAATAAATAAAATCTTTAAAAATAGTAATAATAAAATAAAGTTATCTCATAAGGTTACTGTGATGATTAAAAAAGAAAATATAGGGGCACCTGGTTGGCTCAGTCGGTAGAGCATACAGCTCTTGATCTCAGTGTGGTAAGTTCAAGCCCCACGTTGGGTGTAAATCTTACTTTAAAAGAAAGAAAGAGGGTGCCTAAGTGGTGCAGTTGGTTAAGAATTTGACTCTTGGTTTCTGCTCAGGTCATGATCTCAGGGTTGTGAGATCAAGCAAGCCCCGAGTCAGGCTCTGCACCTAGCTAGGAGTCTGCTTGGGATTCTCTCTCCCTCTCCCACTGCCCCTCCCCACCCCGCATGTGTACACTCTCTCTCTCTCAAATAAATAAATAAATCTTGAAAGAAAGAACGAAAGAAAGAGTGAAAGAAAGAGAGAAAGGAAGGAAGAAAATACAGGTAGAACCCAGAGAAGAGTGCTCAGCAACTAGTAAGTTGCTAAATAAATGCTAGAAAAATAGTAAATGTAAACAATTGAGGGAAGAAACCACAACGGATGCTAAAAAGATTAGATGAAATGTTGTTCAGGAACAGGATGTCAGAATGGTGACCAAGGGTTACCTCATAGTTTACACACTAATTGCAAAAGGGGGAAGTGCCTTTACAATGGAGACATGTAACAACCACCATCTAAACTCAGTCTTCAAACATAACAGGACCAGAGGTGGGACAACCTAACATTGATGTCCCTCCAGATAGAATGCAACATAAAGTACATCATCTTCAAAATATTTCTCACCAAAAAAGTTCACCTGACGCTAATCAAGCTAGAGAGCTGACTGAGTTGGCAGAAAATACAAAGAACAGAGAAAGAAGTTAAATAAGAGCAAGAAGAAACATTGAGATCAGTCCTGAACATGGAGACACTGTACAACTATCCTTGTCTCTTCAAAAATGTGGTGTCATGAAATAAAAAAGGTTGTGATGGAGTGGTTCTCTACTCTACATAGTCTTTTGGGAACCCAGACCTGCCCTCTCTGTGATGCTGTCATCCTTAACACACCTCCTGTAGGGAAGGGAAAGGGGGCCTGGAGAATCTTACAAGGTGGCATTCAATAGGCCACCGCAGAGAGCGGTCCACATCAGCTTCCACTTGCATTTTTTTGACATAGCTTCACCTGGCCCCCATCTAACTGCAGGAAGGCTGGGAAATGTGGCTGGAAGCTTGAAAGAAGAAGAAAGGGATTTGGTGTGCATCTAGCCAGTCTCCCCACACAAACACCACCACTCCAGGATGCAGGTCTCAGCATGGCCTCTGCCAGGGAATCCTGAGCCATGCACGCCCTCAATCCCGTGCCCTTTCTCCATCTGAGATGGACCAGCAACCCAGTGTCCTCCTTTCTCACGTCATCCCCCATAGTCAGTCAGTCTAAACACCAATGTCTCCATCCTTACGTATCTCTAAATAGCCATCACCTCTGTGACTGCAACTGCCAGAGCTCAGGGCATCAGCTTCCCAGCTGGCCTCCTTCATGCAAGGCTCTTGTTCTCAGAGGATGTACATTCTTGTGTAAGGCTGAAAGTGAGAAAATAAATAAATAGACAAGATCATTTTTTATGGTTTATTTATTTGAGAGAAAGAGAAGGAGGGCATGTGCACGTGCTTGCACAAGTGGGAATGGGGGGCAGACAGAGAGAATCTTCAAGCAGACTCTCTGCTGACTACAGAGCCCCATCCCATGACCCATGAGATCATGACTTGAGCCAAAACCAAGAGCTGGACGCTTAACCAACTGAGCCACCCCAGCGCCCCATTCAATATAATTTAAGATAATGGTAGGTACTATGAAGGAACCAGAGGCTAAAATGATAAAGAATGGCTATTTGGGGTGGGGAGGAAGAGCTAATTTATACAGAGTGGTCAGTAAAAGTCACACTGAGGACGTAGCTGTGGTAGATAACATTACCCAGAATTATCCAGAAGAGCAATCTTTCCATTTCTATATGAACCCTGATACTCCCTCTTCAAGTGGTAAAGTCCATGTTCCCTCCACTTAACTTTGGACAGGCCTTTTGACTTGCTGAACTAATAAAGTACAACAGAAGTGATGCTATGTGACTTCTGAGGTCAGGAAAGACAATTCAGTTTCCGCCTGAGTCTTTTGGGACACTTTCCTTGAAACCAAGCTACACGAACAACCAAGGCCCCCATGCTTCCACCTTGGCTTAGCTCATAGACCACTGCCAACGCCAACATGCCAGCCATGTGAGTGAGCCACCTTAGAAGCAGATCCCTAGGGCGCCTGGGTGGCTCAGATGGTTGAGCGACTGCCTTCGGCTCAGGTCATGATCCTGGAGTCCCGGGATCGAGTCCCGCATCGGGCTCCCTGCTCGGCAGGGAGTCTGCTTCTCCCTCTGACCCTCCCCCCTCTCATGCTCTCTCTCTCTCATTCTCTCTCTCAAATAAATAAATAAAATCTTTAAAAAAAAAAAAAAAGAAGCAGATCCCTACTCTTGGGTGATTTGCCCCATCTGAAGCTTCATGGAGCAAAAATGCATCCTTCCCATCAAACCCTGCCCAAATTACAGATATATAAACTAAATAAATGACTGCTATTTTGAAGCCACTGAGTTTTGGAAGGTTTCATTACAGAGCAACAGTACTGAGCTGAGGCCTAAATACTAAGGAGCCAGCCAGAAGGAAATCTTCATGGAGCATTTTAAGCATTGCCAACAACAAATCCTGTAGCACTGAGACAGGACCAAGCTTGGCACACTGAAGGAAAGGACAAGGCCACGTGGCTGAGAGAGAGAGCAGTAGATGTGTGACTGAAAAGAAAGGAACGGAGTCACAGTGTGCAGAGTCTCAGGCACCATGGTAAGAAGTTAGAAATTAATCAGGGGCGCCTGGGTGGTGCAGTCGGTTAAGCAATCGACTCTTGATTTTGGCTCAGGTCATGATCTCAGGGTCATGGGATAGTGGGGGGTCTGCTTGAGATTCTCTTTCTCTCTCACTTTGCACCTCCCCCACCGCCACAGTGCACACACACTCTCTCTCTCAAAGAAGAAGAAGAAGTTAGAAATGAATCAAAAGTTCAAAAGTTCAGTGGGAGTTTTGGGGACGATGTGAAAGGGGATTTGGCTCGTTCTTGAAAGATGGCTAGGGCTGTTGTGAGGAGGGTAGTCTGTATCAGGACAAGAGTGAGCAGGAAGACCAGTTAACAGACACCGCACTTGCCCAAGATGAAGACGATTGTCCGTAAGTGGTGGAGAGAAGATAGATTCTGGGCATATTTTGTAGAGGCAACAGGCCTTGCTGATCGGAAGGATGAGGGGTGAGGGATAGGGGAAAATAGAGGCAAACTTCTAGCTTTTTCTCTCAAACAGCCAGGTGAATAACAGTGTTACTGGCTGGATGGGGAAGGCTGGAGGAAGAGCAAGTAGGGGTGGGGGAAACTTCCCTTTCCCTCAGGATGTCTGATTTCAATGTGGTTATTGAGATCAGCAAGCTGGTTAAATACTTCTTACTAAGCAGTTATGGGCAGGCGAGTACAGAGCATCTGGGTCTGATGGGAGTGGAAACTCTGATAACCACTTGTGTTTTCTTAAGAACGCCTGGGTGGCTCAGTCAGTTGAGCGTCTGCCTTTGGCTCAGGTCATGATCTCAGAGTCCTGGGATCGAGTCCCGCGTTGGGCTCCCTGCTCGGCAGGGGTTCTGCTTTTCCCTCTCCCACTCCCCCTGCTTGTGTTCCCTCTCTCGCTGTGTCTCTCTCTGTCAAACAAACAAATAAAAGCTTTAAAAAAAAAAATTCCTTTCTGTTTTGGGCACCTGGGTGGCTCAGTTGGTTGGGCGACTGCCTTTGGCTCAGGTCATGATCCTGGAGTCCCGGGATCGAGTCCCGCATCGGGCTTCCTGCTCAGCGGGGAGTCTGCTTCTCCCTCTGGCCCTCCCCCCTCTCATGCTCTCTCTCTCATGCTCTCTCTCTCAAATAAATAAATAAAATCTTAAAAAAAAAAAAAGAATTCCTTTCTGTTTTTTGTCTGCCTGTATAGCTTTAAGAACCTCCATGCAGACTGTGGTTGTTACAGTTGCAGTGGCAAAGATCCCAGTTGGAAGCTGAAACACACCCAAAGGAGGAAATTGAACTCAACGTGTAGGGGACCCAGCCAGGCACTTTCCCCAAACTATACTCCATTAGCCAGTCTGGAAAAGAGCCCCTGGTGATAGAGACAAGGGAACCAGGCTTTACGTGTTCACTGAAAGAATGACTGAAAAGAGTCAGGGCAAAGAACAATGAATGAGCTTCTGGAATGACTCTGAAAGCAGGCAGAAGACCTAAGCTGTCGGAAGCAGCTGCTGGATCTCCTATGGGGAGAGGGGGAAGGAGGGGAATGGGGTGGCCCAGGAGGAGAAGGAAGGATCCTAGGCCAGGCCACACCTCCATGCCTTCCTTACCTTGCCTCTCCAGCCCCAGTTCCAGGAGCTTGCCCAATCCACTCAATTCCCTCCCTCCACAGGACGCACCACCCCCAAAGCTCAGAAGGAAAACTGCTCTCTTCACCTGATGTTCAGCAAAGGTCATTCAACTGCCTGGACTTCTTGCAGATCACCTCACAGGATCCCAGGCTGGACTGGTCAGCAGAAGGGAGTGGGGTATCCAGCCAGGCTCTATACGGAGAAAGAATGGGCAATCACAACAGCAGAGACAGGGCACTCAGTGCCCGGGAGCACCTTTGCTGATTCCCACTGAGTTCAAATGCCGCTAAATCCTCTCTCCTGTATTTGTCATGTTTGTTTCAACTTTCCCCATTGTCTCCATGAGCCCACAGTACTTGCTGCCCAAATATTACTTCTTCCCACTCTTTCTCCAAAATATGGCAAGGGGTCTCAAGTTTAACCATGAATCACCAGAGAGCCAATGATAACCCATACCTGGGCATTGCTCCATGTATGCATTCCATAATTATTTATTGAGCTCCTACCACGTGTGATTGTTAAGAAGGCTACTGCAGTGATCCAAGTGAAAGATAATGGAGACTTGGACCAGTATGGAGGTAATGAGAAGTGGTTGGATTATAGATATATTTTGAAAGGTAGAGCCAACAGGATTCCCTGGTGGACGGGACATGAGGTGTGAAGGGAAAGTTGCATGGGGCGCCTGGCTGGCTCAGTCAGTAGAGCATGCAATGTTTGATCTCAGGGTCATGAGTTTGAGCCCCATATTGGCCATAGAGTTTACTTAAATGAAAATCTTTTCTAAAAAAGAAGGATGGGGGCTCCTGGGTGGCTCAGTCATTAAGCGTCTGCCTTCAGCTCAGGTCATGATCCTGTGGTCCTGGGATTGAGTCCCACATCGGGCTCCC